AAGATTCTGTATCAAAACAGTGCTAAATGCAACCATGTATTAACATCTGTAGATGAACTCGTTATCTTTAATGTTGTATTTTCTTATTATAAATTCTCTAACTTCTAGAACCCGTGAAGGCCCGGGTTAGAATGAGCCTTCCGCAACCCATGTTTGTCGTAAGAGGCGATTAACGGGATTGGGTGGTCAGGCTCGCTGGCCTGGTTGACACTTGTCATCGGTTCCCAATTGCGCAGATCTATGCTCATGCTGTTGATCACCTGATTGTCTGGTCCAGACTCGATTATTTACAGACCGCCGCCATATGGCTGGAATATTGATGAGCGCGGTGTAAAACTAAACTCACTCACTCTAACTTCTACAATACAAATTTAACATTGGTAAATAGTTTTTACAATCCTGAAATACAATCCTCAAACCATGACCCGGTGTATTGAAACAAAACGATACACTATAAGCCAGATGAGAGACAGGCAATGCGCATTATACTGTAGGAACGCAGATGACGGCAGTGTCTTTGTGTTTGGGCGAAGCGTCGTAGTCTATTGTATGAATATTCCCCTAGCCGATCTGACTATATGCTAATGTAAAGTGTTTAGCTGGGCCAATAGAGAAGCACTGGATTAAGGAGGAACTGGAATTTCAGGATTCATGCTAAGTATAAACTCTTAAATTTGGAACACTTTAATAATATTGAAAACACATTTCCAATACAGCATGTTACAAGTGAAGTAAAAAACAGAATGTTTCAAATCTTCCTAAGCGAGTGGGTAACAGCGATCCGGCGTCATCAAGGTAACCGCACTACCGGAGGTAACAAACTACGACTTTACGGTTGTTTCAAGTCGGAGTTCGGCGCTGAGGAATACGTCATTACCCCTATGGCCAAATCTCACAGAAGAGCGTTAGCCGTTTTTAGATGTGGAGTTGCCCCTATCAGGATAGAAACTGGGCGATATGTTAACCTCTCTGTTGCAGAACGAGTTTGTTTTAACTGTAATGACTGTACCGAAGACGAAACCCATGTGTTACTGCGATGTCCTGTCTACAATGATGTCCGACAGGTTTTACTGCAGAGATGTGCTGAAGTGTGGCCCGAGTTTAATACTGCTGATATCACTAAAACTAGCTTAATGTTATCTTGCACTGTGATAGCCATTTTATGTTCCCAAACATGTAAACTATTTTAGACAAACGAATGGAAAAATTGTACAATTCCTAGTTATATATTTTATGTATGTATGTATGTATGTGTGTGTGTGTGTGTGTGTGTGTGTGTGTGTGTGTGTGTGTGTGTGTGTGTGTGTGTGTGTGTGTGTGTGTGTGTGTGTGTGTGTGTGTGTGTGTGTGTGTGTGTGTGTGTGTGTGTGTGTGTGTGTGTGTGTGTGTGTGTGTGTGTGTGTGTGTACGTATGTATATGCTTATAATCATATTTATGCTTCTCATATCATAGTGTATTTTATCATTGTTAACATCTGCACGTTAACAAATCTTTAAAAATATCCTAATTGTGTGCGAACATGGGTCGGCCAATCATGTTATTGTCATGGACCTAAGAGCATTGTAAATGGCAAAAAGCTCGCTGAAATGTTATTACAACTAGAGTAACACACGATGACATACTGCAGTTTATAACAACATTTACCTCATTAACACATGGAATAAGATTATGGCATGCCGACATTGACACGTACACTAATCACAGTTCATTATAGATGCATGAAAGACATGTCCAACAACCTTCAAAGTTCAATGATTGTTGTCACAGATACGCGAGGACACAGCTGTAGATACAATTAGTTTGTGTGTAGATAACAAGTACAAAATAAACGTGTTTCTTGCAATGTTAAATCTATAATGCAAAACCACATGATTCTGAATTAACATATTTATTAGGTGTGACGGTGTATTGCATATTCCTTCTATCATCATACTGTTCTGTGACTGACACATGTACTATCGACAATAGCCATTTCACTCATACAGCGACATTTGAGTAAATGAGAGAGGGCTATTCCAAAGATAAAGTTTTCCCAAGAGAGGTGAGAATAGAACAGCCATTACTCTAAATGATATGAATAAATAAAAAGAAGCGAGCGCTCTTGCTTTAGACTGAAACCATGTTGGACTTGAGTTGAGCTTCATTCTCGAGGGTCTGGGAGAAGACGTCTTCCAGTCTCCGATGAGCGCTTCAAAATAATCCTATCCTCCAGCAAGATGGGCAAAACACATTTTACCATCAACATCAGATCTTACAAAGTTTCAAGAGAACAATTTTGTTCATTGCATTACATGTATCTTTGTCGACCATTTGTCCAAATTCCCCCATCTGTCCTCAAGAATGACACATGATAGATGCATACTGGAATATTTCAGCTGCTATTCATTATTGAACAGAGCAGGATACAGTGTTTTCACAATACATCATTTAATGTAAATGACATTGCACTTGTATAAATGAAATAATTATGACAGAACGCTTCTAACTGCAATGGAAAAAATTGGTTCTGAAAATTAGATGAAGCTCGAATCCAGTTATGCTGCATCTTCCAACTGACTGCATGTGCATGATGTATACAATATGTATGACACTGGTTATGTTACACCAACAAAGGATGATAAATTGGAATTATATTAATATTCATATTCTAACAAATGGCATATGAAACATCCATCTGTCACATTTTAACTGCATTATGTCTCACATAAATCGCTAAAGGGAACTACACATATCATACTGAACTACTAATAGTCTATATTCAAACCCCAAATACGCCTCAAGATTGTGCTGCGAGTTTACATTCATTACTTTACAACAATCTATTTTTTGACAATCTTTTTTCATCTCATTATCCCAATATACTAATAAGGAAGATAAAGCCAATTTCTAAACATACAAATGATATCGTATATGTACTCACTTCATTTTATGGACGCCCCTATTACAGACAAAGAAGCTCCACATCTGGTGAGTGACCCGTGTCTTGTCATGAAGACGTTGTGCATTGTTTTATTACTAAACATATATATTTATGTGTGACAACATGTCAACAATTAAAGTACATATAAAAACATGACAATTGCACACAGAGGTATATTATACCAGTGAGAGAGTATAGTTTCACTATTTCATTATTGTTGTCACAGGTAGATAATGTTTAATATCGTTCATGTTGGTAATATTACATTGTATATTACCTTACAAGCATGTGTATATTTGCTTGTATGTGTGTCAAATTATTGTAACCTTTATACTCTGTACTGATTGGGCATTTCGTACAATAAATTATATCGTCATCTATTATGGCCTTTTAGCTGCGTGCTTCCTCGATGTTTTCAAACTATCAATACATTATGCAATTTGATTCACTTACTACCCCAGGGGTGTACGACAAGATTAGGCCTTGTGTTGTGTGGTTGATAAGGGAGTGAGCCTGCTTGTGTACCAGTTTGACGATTCTCCTGGTTCTAATTGATACTATGTCTATTGAAATTAACAGCCAGGGGTTGTGTAACATTTCAATGTCACGGTTTGGCAGGTTTTGGCATATCTGATTTGACATTGCTCAGTAATTGACCACTTGCTAACAGCATGATAAGATTATGGACAGAAACGCTCCCCTACATTACGTCACTAGCTGTTGCGCAATGCAGTTTGGATCAATGTGAAAATAAGAACAATTATCATAAACGTCAGTCACACACCAGTATTATCATCACGGTCAATCAACGTGTATGTCGATAGATCAAAAGGATGTTGAAAGGGTTTCTTTGTTGTTAATGATGTATTGTGGGCAGCTTAGTTGGAGGTATTCTCGAAAACTACCAGACTTCGACAAATCCCTATTCATAAAAGATAACGAACCGTTGATTTAATGTTTAACACTATTCGCCTAAGGCAATGTGACAAGGCAGTGTTACGGACCATCCTGGTTTGGATCAATACTTACTGTCTATATAAATAGGACATTAACCATTTTAACACTGACTGACTGACTGAGTTTGGTTTTACGCCGCTTTTAGCAATATTCCAGCAACATCACGGCGGGGGGACACCAGAAATGGGCTTCACACATTGTGCCCATGTGGGGATTCGAACCCGGGTCTTCGGCGTGACGAGCCAACGCTCTAACCATTAGGCTACCCCACCGCCCCCCCATTTTAACAAAGGTGGTAATATGTAAAATTATAAATTTCGGTAAAATGATAAATGCCCTGTTTGTAACGACAGTGAACGTGGCCAAGAAAACAGGAATTTACTTCGACGTTTGAAATTACTGGTCACACAAACGAACACAATTTCCTTCTGTGACCAAACGTCGTTTGAGACTCACGTTAACTGTTTAGGGCCCGGGGTGGTTACCTTTAAACGTCATCTGCTCTGGTTACCTAAACACAGGGTAGACAACTCCAATTAGGGTGTCAAGCATACCCCTATCACTGCAGAATCAGTCGTTAGGGTACTTCACCCAGAATGACCAACAATTTTTAACCTAGGCGTGACGTCACTTGGAAGATATACCTTCACCCTTATGTCTAAGGGGACATAACTCATCGTCCCGCAGTTTTCAGTTCACCACTACGCTACTTCAATTCTCGTATATAACCTATCATAATGCGTTAGCTCCAGCATTATTAATAGCTATGCATGGAATATAATACGTTATAATTCAAATACGCAAATTCATAAGGAATGCATGGTATTGTCTGATGTGTGTTAGCGTGTAAATGATGTACAAAATGTGAAACGTTATACAAATAACATTGTATGTCTGGGTTTAGTCTGTCTCACAGTCCCTGAACCACATTAATTTCCCTACTGCCAAGCCCTCTCTGCAGTGCTAAATCCCTAAATAAAGCAAGTCTAGATTTCCTCAGGTTCAGGCTGAATCTCTGGTCTCCCTAGGGCTCCTTTTCAATATAAATGGGTTTGTTTGTTGCTATCAAAATTATATATATTCAGAGACTAGTCTAGTCTGGGTTAGGTCACTCTTCTTACAACATTGAGCTAAGAGGCTTTCGTGAACCATAATACTGGTACACTGTATAACGCCAAATTCAAACTTTCATCGTTGTATAAATATTTGGAATTTACCAGTCCTAGAATTCGTCAAGTGATAAGAAAAAACAGCGGATACCGATCTGTTATGTTCATCTGTTTTGCAGTTGTCATCGAGCACTAAGGTGAGAAAAGAACAAAATTCGTGACAGGTATTTGCATTATGTATCGCGTGGTATGTACTAGTATTTGTGAGAAAGATCGGTTTGACTGTATATGCCAAGATATGTAAGATTGTAAGAACACCAAATATGTTGTACATTTTAATTGGCCAAAAAGGCTATTGACGTAAATTAGCATATCATGACAGTCACATTCGGTCATTTTGGTTTGGGACTGTAGTGAAAGACATTTAGAGAAGAATGTTCATAGCACGGTTCATAACAATAAATACAGCTCAATACATCATCATGTCATGACGCTCCTGCCGAACATTGTCTCATTGAATGGTTGATATTGTCCTGCGTAAGATACATTGTAACCATGGTGATACATCACACCCATAGACTGGAGAGCTTTACAACGTCGTTTCCCATAATCAGATCCATCTTCATCACTGCTATGCTTTCGTTTGACACAAGCGTTAGTCTTGACACATGACAAGGCAGAGAGATTACGAACATAATCCGGGATGTGAGTTAATCCGGCATTTCTTGAAGGAAACACGCGAGTATTGTACGTCCAATGTCTGGTGCAATCCGTGACATTGTTCGAGTACAAAGGTTGTGTATTGTCTGGGTACATTGGTGGACGACACGGTTCATTTGTCAGATAAGAAGGACAATGAGGTATCCGGCTGGCTGTGTAGTCGAAAGAACTGGTTGAACTCACAAGCTTGTCAAGTAATCCTTCAGGACAGGAATCTGCAATGTAATCATTTGCATTAAAAGGAAGAAAAACTATTGGAATATAGAATTACAAAAAATATAAGAATTTCAAGCTGTAAAGCCACATTCATTTTCAGGAGCTTTTAGTGATTTTGCAGCAGATGGAATTTGCTGTAGGGGAACAGAGGAACATTTCTAAAGGGAGATATCTCATGATTGTGAAAATGTTTTGCAACTTATATGTACCTGGGACATTTCATCAAATGAGACCGTCTTTACCAATGGGTAATGGAAATTAGCCACATAGTCTGGACTATTGTCTGTTATAAATAATGAAACAAACATGCACATAAATACATGTCACAGATCCAGTGCTCATCAGCCTTCAAAAGAGGATACTTTTGAAAGATATATGTATCGGAAAGACATGGTATAAAGAGAGTATGTTACCTATCACACTGAGTACGTCTTCAAGGATCTTTGAAGATTCTTCTGTTGTATGAAGCATCATTTCGCTTGAGGGATTATTCAGGGTGGATTGAAAATCATTCATTGCTACATATCTGCCTTGGTCGTTGGTCATATAGCCGTTTCTGTGAGAGTGAGAAGCAAATCGGGAGTCGCATTGCCCTGGTACAGTTCCTCTCTCGTCTGTACAACTCCAAGGGTTCTCGTTGGATGCAATTAAGAGGGCCGGCTCATACATTTGTTGTGGGTCATCCAGACCCGGAAATTTGGACATATCCAGATTATAAGTGATGTCGGTCTCAATGAACAGAGGTTGTTGCAGATGTAGAGGCACAGGAATACCAACATCCATTTCACTGAGTCTCCTCATGCTTCTGGCAGTAGACGGGCAATGATATCATAACATGTTCCGGCTGTTCATACTCTTCGCTTGACCAATCACGACTCACGGCTTTCCCTTCGCCATCACAAATGAGCCAATGACAACAGATGTCTCATGGACAAGAGGGAGGTAGTGAGTTATGATAACAATTACGTCAGCTAGGCGCACACTAATGCTGCCATTTACGACTGAATGGTAACATGTGGTTGGGATTAGTCACGGATGGATTGAGTGTAGATAGACCGAAGTGGGCAAGCCCCCTTTTTCCACCTGCTGTTAACCCTCATCAGACTAATCACCATGTCTGTACAACCCCCAGCGGCACTCTAAGGCCCATTACACAAATGTTATTGTTCGATAGGAAAGAACTGCAATCCGTGATGTAATTTCATGGGTTGTGTATACCACTTAAGGGGACAGTAAATGGATACGTGTTGTTATTTTGAGCAATACTCCCTCCTTGTCGGAATAGTGTCCCACTAATGTATTCGTAACATAATACCATAATTTATTATTCATTTCCAATGTACCATGCATACTTTCATGTTGGTAGAATTGAAGAGCAGCACTAAATCGCCGTACGTTTATGGTGTATTACTATGAAATGAAATGTGTATATACCGAAGCTTAAAAGAACGGTCAATCATTTCTTCAAACTCTAAATAATAAACTAAACTGTACCTTCCCACTCTGGTTCTCTAAGCGCTGCAACGACGTTTCCCTGTTTCCCAGCTACTCAGAATTTTTCGTTTACTATGTTTACTGAAATTTTTTGTTCAGCCTGCGAATATAACGGCCACGATCAAAGATAAAACAACGTGTTAGTCAGATACGTTTTTTGCGCAACAAGAAAATTAGTGTCACGTTATCGCGCAAATACACAAACTTGTGAAACTAATATCGTAACAATGTGTAATGGATATGTTTATTGTAAAATGTATACTAAATTGGTTTCATGGTACGATGGAGTTTAACGTAATACATTCGCAAAAATAGAGAAAGATATTAAAAACGGCTGGTCTACTGTCCATCAAGTGACACAGAATAACATTATTGATCATTAATATATAGTGAAAATTTGAAAAAAGAGCATCAATTTAGAATATACAGACCAGAAGTGTAAGGTCTAGTGAATCACAAATGAGCTTTTCTATTTCAATATTCCAGTCATGGTCAAAACGCACGGGATGCAAGCGCTGGAAGTCACAGAAATGTAAATAACTTAAGAATATTAATAGCGTCAATTTCTCTGGAATTTATTATTGGTAGGAGTATGTTTGTTCTTTCTTTTACAAGCATAACATAGTGTTCATTTTCTGTGTGCTATATTTGTGTAAACACATTGCAATATTAATTGTAGAAATATTTCCATGATAATGTATTACTCATCCTAACTGTAAAAACAGCAACGTGCATCTGCCCATCATCCATAAACAAATTAATTTATGAATTAATATGTAGTTCTGCATGGGTGACGTTACATATTTATGATATCATATGTCATTGCTACATGCCATTATCCCAACACATGCATGCAAAATTATTTATCATTCACATTATATTCTATTCACTACTATCTGTTTTAGGTAGAATGTTGTGGCTTGTGTCTCATAGGCCATATGGCTAGATGTTATATGTTATATTAAGTGTCTTAAGGTATCTATGTTTGTGTCACATATAACAAGTGACACACAAACAATAACACTCTCTTTCTTCTCCGTAACCATACGCAAACGCAGTTTGTAGTCATGTAATTAAATAAATATACCACACTCCATTGTTGCTTACAAAGCTGTGATATTTTATTTACTACTATCTGTTTTAGATATAATATAGTGCCTTGTTTCTCATAGGCCATATGGCCGGATGTTATATTTTATTGAATGTTTTAAAGTCTATGTATGTTTTATATATAACATGTGACACACAAATAAATATATCTTCTTCTTCTTCTTCTTCTTCTTTATATATAACATGTGACATACAAATAAATATATCTTCTTCTTCTTCTTCTTCTTCTTCTTCTTCTACACGTCGAGGCCAATTGTCGGTTTGACCGGCTTGGATAGTGCACCTAGCGGGTCAATAAAGCCAAGACAAATTGAAAAGGAAATACATCGTAGGATCGACACTTGATACGAAATATTTTCGATCTTTAGTTAACGAAGATTACTTAATCTCTACTGATATTTATAATTTAAAAGTCTTACCGGCGAAACGAATTATTACTACAATATTACAAAACTAAAAATGCAAAGACCGGTCTATATATCTAATATTAGTATCATCATTGACTCTGTAAGGGACAATAATTTTTTTAAAAACCGTGTGCAGGGTACGTACATTATCAACACGAACCGAACGAAAAGGTCATGAACGTGCAACATATGTTGTATTTGAGATTACACGTCTTCAGACAGTACCAACTCTGGTACATTTGGGGGTTGAGTCCAATCTCAGAATAGGCATTTGGTCACCATCACACGAAGTCAGCGATCTAACCCACTCAGCCAACGATTTCCACGTAATGGAAGTCTGACAACGGGTAGTCTCCCTTGTCTACGCCTCTGTATTTCAAGCGTTATAGACCAAGCTCATTGCTTCATAAACGTTCAGTCATCTGAAGGTCAATTCCTGTATTGTAGCAACCTGATCAAACTGATGAAGTATCTTGCTATTTCTTGAAATGCTCTTTGGAAATAAGGAACTGTATCGGACGGTCACTGATACGTCAAATTATGAAATGTCATAACTATGTACATGTATACATTAAGCTTTTGAAAGCTTTACTGGAGACTTTAATGCTGTAACAATGATCAGATTACTCTTGAATAAAAAGAGAAATGCAACGCTCTTTGAAATTTTCGTAGAAAGAACATGCCGGACTGTAGACTGATGACAATTTTTATGGATATACAACTTCTTTTATCCTGTGAAAGGCGACGTTTCGACATAGATTCTAATGTTGTTGTCTTGGAAACTTGTTGTCTTGACAACGACATTAGAATCTATGTCGAAATGTCGGACGGTACCTCAAAAGATGTGAAATGTAAACACCAAAGTGCGGAGCTCACGGAATGTTACCCGACGTACAGGGAAAGTTGACTTTTTGAAAGCTGAAATCCTTCCCCTTGTCATACAGACTTGTGGAGAAGTGACCCCTCTGGTTATACAGTCTTATGAAGAATGTTTGTCCCGCTTTTTCCTTTTTCATAGGTGCAACCACGTAGCAGGTTTCACGACCGTGCCAATTAACGCTTATCAGAGGGGTACACAAAGTCCGCAGTTTAGACTACCGGTCTACCATTTTTGTGGAAGTCGCGGTGGCTAAGCGGGTTAAGCGGCTGACTTTGTGTGCTGGCGATTAGGTGCCTGACTCTGCGGGTGTGGGTTCAAATCCCGGATGGGACTCAACCCAACAAAAGCACAAGAATCTGTACTTTACTAAGAAAGTGTAATCCCATATATGTTACATTTGACCACTTTGTAAATCGCATTGTGTAATCATGGTCTCATGTAGTTATGGACCAGGTTGTTAAATCAGTGGACGGGGTTACATGACCGTTGTTAGACCAATGTCAAGCCATTATTGTACCTGAAGTTTAAGTAAACGTCTTGACCAAAAGCTAAATTAATGTCGTGACATAAAACTTAAGTTAAACTCTTCACCTAACGCTTAAGTTAAGTCTTGACCAATGACCAAAAGCTTAAACGTCTTGGACAAAATGTTTAAGTTGAACGTCTTAAAATTTGATTGTTTTGATTTCGCCTGTCCATGCATCATCCTTTACAAAAAGTCTTGTATAAACACTTCTCTGGGGATACCGACTTCCTATTTACACACCCTGTCCTACATTTGACATTGCCGGAGGGAGTAATCAATCCCTCGCCCTTTGAGCACCTCAAATGAGATATATGAGTTCTCAAAGATCATAAAAATTTCAAAATTACTTGCCCCATATAATCCGGATTGTAACTACACAATATCCCCAGTGATATGCCTTCTCACCCAAGTAATACACACTCTTTGTCAACACGTAGTTACAAAGTAAATATATGAGTAAATTCTTTATGTAAATATATGATCCTTCTATGAATTGCTTATGTAACATCTTACAACCTTTCTACTTAATTTATCGTAGGGGTTACTCTGATAAGGGTTCTCCTGGAGGTCGTCAGATAAGTAAAATGTTCAACATGGGGAATGGGCACCGCCACATTAACCAGCCACAACATTTAATTGTATCCAGTCCCTGGTTGTATTTCAAGTTTATGTCACGGTTTGGCAGATTGTCTGATAACTGATTTGACAGGGGATGATAATTAGTGACTTCCTAAGACCATGATTAGCAGATATTTAGTAGTACCGGTAAACATTGCATCATGCATTGTAAAGCGGTCTCAGCTGAGACGTGGGAAACCTGCTGACGTCTCCTACAAAGGTGAGAACTTCCTGTTATCACAGGTGTCAGGACAGACTGGGTCTTGTCTGATACGAAGTCCATTGCTTAGTTAACGGCCCTTATTATTCTGATCTTCGGTATGAGTTGTTTCAAAAAGTTAGTATTTTACACCCAAACTTTGCTCAGTTATCAAACACTGAACAAGCTGCATTCCTCTTACAAACAGAAAATATAATCCACCTGCAGCTTTAGTTAGCCATATGTATCGGCGTACCTTATTATCCCAATAACATAATGACCATACATTTTTATAGTTCTTTCATATGTATGGTACTTTTATGTTTATGCACATATTGTCTAGTATATGTCTCGTTGTCTACCTGACCTGGTGTTTGTATATTCCATGTTCGTTTACCATAGTCATTTTAATCGATATGCACATTCACGTGACACAAAAATAAACTATTTTGTCTGTCTGTCCGATACACGCTGGTCATACATTCTGATACGTTTGCATAACCAATTGTCACGATACATGAAATTAGGTAAGTCATATTCATGTACAATGTATGTAATGTTTTGGGAACGTATTACATTGCGACCGCAATACATTTAGTCAATCTACTGGTCGTCATATACATGTATATGTATGTCACAGACATATTGCCTACACTGCAGCACTTCCAATACATAACTAATGTTATTTCATAATAGACCCTCACAAATTCGAATAGTTGATTTCAGTTGGATTTTATTGGTTGTACTTTCAAATTGTTTTACAGTACCATTTCGTTTCATTGGTGGATCGAAACTCGATATATGGTAATTGTTACAGGAATTTATATCTGTCTCTTACTATGCCATACATACAATGTACATGATGAATAGAATTAGCTCTTTAGAAAGCGCTACACGGCATAAATCGTTTGGCATCCGGGAATGTTCATAGCACCTTTCAAAATAGTATTTCTTTTGAATATAAATTACACATATATGGTAATACAACCCAATTACGTCACAATACTTGTAAACGTGGGCAATTGGTGATAACCAAGATAAGATCCAGCGTAACCGTAGCAATGACCAGCATCCATAGTATCCATTACAGTACATTGTCTCTTTCGTATATCAGATTCGAACCCGTCTTGTGTTCGCTTGCGCTTGTAACGGGTATTATTTTTGAGAGTTGACAAGGACTGCAGATTAGACACACAGTCAGAGATCCTATGTAGTCCATTAAATCCTGTACGACATACAGGTGTGTTGGTCTGGACGTATCTGGCACCATGGAAGTATCCGTGAGGTATTTCCCCGCTCTGCTGGTAATTCCTGAATATCACAGGTCCGTGCGACAGGTCCATTGTATTCCTGTTTGGTGCCATCATTCTGTTTGGAGCTGCACACTCTGGGATGGTAATTAATCGTTCCAGTAGTCCATTCGTGTAGGTATCTGAGGACAAATAAACATTAATTCGGTTTAGTGACAAAGTACAACATATACAGAATACAACCTCTTTTTATCCATTATTTCTTACGTGGTTTGTTATTTCTTATGCTGATCAAATGTATCTCTATGGCGATATTGTGTATCAGAGAAAGTGGGAGGGATGGATTGATTAATATTGAACAATAAACAAAATATTTACCTATGGCAGTGAGAAGATCCTCCAAGATATGTCCAGATGAAGTGTCAATATGACGGCCGATGTTTTTGTCTGGAAACTTAGAAGTTGCATCCCATTTGACACCCATATTCCTTGAATAGTTCACGGAACAGATTGAGCTGGCATTGTCAGTATCCCTTATTTCACCAGGTGGAAGAGCATCACCACAGTGATGGAAATAGTTTGAGATCGTGTCCGGGGTGGCGATCAACAGTGCTGGCTGGAGGACGTGGCAAGGGTCATCCAAACCAGGGAACTTGGACATGTCCAGACTGTAATTAATATCCGTGTCGATGTGAAGTGGCTGCTGTACTTGCGGACACACTGTAGCTGGATGCAACATAGTGAAACAGATCAGCAATGATGCTCACTGCTCAAAGGCTTACTCGCTTTTAACGGACGGGGCTTTTCAGTTGTCATATGCGCCCGGTCAATCAAACCCTGATTAAGCTTTTCTCTGGTGTGCTACCTGTTTATTGACCTAAGCTGCTTTAAGTATGTAATTTAAATTGGAGCTGGCAACATGTGCTTCCTATTAGTCACGGGTCGTTTGTCAGGTTCACCGCCATCTATGGACAGACGCGCCGTGTGATACTGACAGTGGTCTCTCATCAGTGACTACCCAATCACCCTGTCTACACATTCTCACCAGGGTTCAAGCGGAGACAGGTCATTACACAAATGTTGTTACAGGCGGTGAAATTAATTCACCTCCGTGACGTAATATAATAGCTGGTTTGTACTACTTAACAGAAATTGGAATTGGCAATCTGGGGTTAATGGTAAGCTACCTATGTTTACATAGTGTCAGATATATTCTATGGTTGATTTTTTAGAGGCAAAAATGTGTGAAAATATTTTGTCATATTGATGGGTTTATCTGGGTACATCCATAGCGTGTAATTCTTTGTTCTTCCAGATCTTATATTATTATATTTATTACATTAACGTGTAATTCTTCCAGATTTTATATTATTTCCTTTTTATATGCAAAGAAAAATACATATTCATTACATCTTCTGGTTTGGACATAGTAATACATGTACACCCCAAAATAGAAATGTTCCCCAACTTTCTCTCACCACAGAAACTATATTATCAAGTAAAATGATTTGAATTATACTCAAAATGTCTTACAATATGAGAATATATTTCGTTTACATGTCGATATAAACTGAAACATATGTTATATTTGGGATTACACTTTCTTAGTAAAGTACAGATTCTAGTACTTTTGTTGGGTTGAGTCCCATCCGGGATTCGAACCCACACCATCAAAGTCAGGCACCTAATCGCCAGCACACAACGTCAGCTGTCGAACCCGCTCAATGGTTTGAATGTGAGCGATAAGAGACATCGGAACTCAATATATATTCGGGGACTCATAACAATCAGACCTCACAAATAAGAGGACTGGATACATCATGTGATCACCCAATAAGTAGATAAAATACATTTCCGGAATCATGAGAATTACGAGTCCAGTGCATGAATCAGACGGAGTCAAGACTGGGTACTTTTTAGCCCTGACGCTTTATAGTTTTAATTATTTCAAAGGTAGGCTTTGGAGTAAAGCAATACTTAGCATATCGATAGAAACAATACTGTAAGTCTCTCTATTGCATTGTATACTTCTTCACGCATGAACCGCGGTTGGTGTGAAGGAGTGTAAAGTGTGACGGATATGTATACCGTTTCCATTGTAAGACACCTATTGTCTTTCCTGAAACCTTGGCTTCGAGAATCTGTTGAGTTTTTGTGTTGTCATTACAAGTGAAAGAAACACGAACAATAAGATAATGTCAATGTTACCCATAAATGCACAATGCCATTTAGAAAGTGATCAAATGTAGCATATGTTATACTTGGGATTGCACTTTCTCAGTAAAGTACAGATTTTAGTATACTTGTTGGGTTGAGTCCCATCCGGGATTCGAACCCACACCATCAGAATGAGGCACCTTATCGCTAACACACAAAGTCAGCCGTCTTACCCATTCAACCACTATTGATTTTGGTGAAGCCGCCGCGGCTGAATGGGTTAGACGGCTGACTTCATCCACCTAGTCTGTCGTACAGACCCTGAAGTAAATATATCCAAGAAAGCCCACACAAGTCATTTTCAGTAAAATATGTTCATTTCAGAGACTAGTTGTTAATCTATCATCCACCCAACAAAAGTAAAAGAATCTGTACTTTACGGAGAAAGTACAATTCCAAATATAACGTATGTTACAATGTTACTCATGTGCATATAACGAATGGAAAACCAACGGAATGTAGACATGAATGTATTTTTTTTCATGTGACTGTTATGAGACCATAACGGATATTCAAGCGGAACACGAAATAATACACGTAAATATCACCTAAACATTAACATTCAGACTATGTTACACAATCGTGTGTGTAATTCGATAGATATCTACAAAATGAACCCGTTCCATATGTTATATCATCATTTGCATATTATCCGTGAGGAGCCTCAGTTCACACTTCACATCACAGAAACCGCTGTGGTTCATGCCTGAACAAACTGCTATGAATGCGCCACATTATACTGGCAATTTATATGGGCAACTACCGGGATAAAGGAAGAAATTATTCATAAGTAGGAAATTATAGAACAACATTTACATGTACCTGCATATTTTTGTAGGTTTGATGTTTCTGCCGGCAAACTATTGATTTGGCTGAAGAAAAAAGTGAGTAATTTGGTAAAATAACAAAAGCTTACTAGCTTTCCTTGATAGCAAAACATAGTTGTAATTGTGTTTTTAAAGGGGGAGATTATTGTATAATTTGCATGCTCATGTAGCTATTAACTTCTTTCACGCGTGAAAATTTAATGTTACTGTGTATGTAGTGTATCACGCTTCTGTATCATCTAATATGAAAGTGGTCGACATTGTTAATTATTTTAATTAAAAACCCTCTCCATAGTGATGAAAATCTCTGATTTACGATTTAAACAATATTTTATTTCCATTAATGTTCACATGTTACATGTTACATGACATAACAAAATGAAATAGGATAAGCAAACAGGCCACTAGGCCCATAGCAATGCTTGTCCGCATATAAGTACTTCATTACAATTCTATGAGGCAGACATTAATGAATGACTCAAAGAGCAAGACACCAAATGCATTTTATATTCATAAGTTGCTTCTTTAATTCCGTAAAGCCGTTTGTTTCAATTATGTAATTTGGAACTCATTTTATCATTTGTTCATTGTCTGAAGGAGATGAATCTCCTATAGTTTGTATGCTAAGGTGGTAGTCCAAGATATCAAAGAAAGACAACGCAAATCTAGAAAATGTGGCAAGTCTAGATTTCCACAACTTCTGAATATGAAGAAAGTCTCAGGACTCCTTTTCATTATATATATTATACAAACATATTTACAGACCATAACATATGCTATATTTGGCATTACACTTTCTTAGTAAAGTACTGATTCTAGTACTTTGTGGGGCTGAGTCCCAACCGGGATTCGAGCTCACACCCTCAGAGTCGCACCTAATGGTCTGCACACAGAGTCAGCCGCCTAACCCGCTCAGCCACCGCTACTTCAACTACCTTGGTTGAAGTCCCGGTAGCTGAGCAGGTTAGGCGGTTGACTTTGTGTGCTGGCGATTAGGTGCGACTCTGAGGGTGTGAGCTCGAATCCCGGTTGGGACTCAGCCCCACAAAGTACTAGAATCTGTACTTTACTAAGAAAGTGTAATCCCAATATAACATATGCTATATTTCACCACTTTCTAAATGGCATTGTGTATTTACAGACCGCCGCCATACAGCTGGAATATTGTTGAGTGCGGCGTTAAACAACAAACCAACCATCCTTAGAAACATCAGCTTGATCAGCATACTGGAATATCAACACCATTGAATGCCTTTGTCACTATTTTAATAGTCTACTGTATGAAGCATCAGAACCGTCACTTAACAGACTCAAGTGAATTCAACCAGTCCCAGTGGTTCCTGGAAAAGGGACAACAGATCTTCCAAATTAGTTGTATTACTTGGCCTTCGTTCTTGAGATACCGGAAACGTTCGCTGTAAATTGACGTTGACATTTCGTTGGTTCCAAAGATCGGCAACGTTAGAAATTATATAGAATCATTTATAGAATGATCAGGTTAGAAACATTTATTTGTACAAACACAAAACACATATAGTGTCCATAAAACTTCTTCTCCCATTGTAAGATTTCAAAAGTTTCACACTGTTTAAACAATATTCATTTCAACAACAGTACACTCATGAAACAAATAAAAATATATCTTCACAACGAAACTGTATTAATCAGGTTTATATTTTTGAAATTAGGGAATTCACTCTGCAGCGACAAACAGTTTAATGCCTGCTACATTTTGGGAAGGTATATATTGACACATGATATAGGTTCTACTACACCAAATAATTAGTTGCTCCCTGAGGGAATATCTTAGTAAACATCAGTTCTGATGGAAGCTGTGATTGGATGATATTACGTAAGATATCTATGTTTTTAAATGTTCATCCATCCAGTAATCAAAACTGACCACATTCTTAATATCTAGTGCTGCTTGTTTTAACAGGATGACTTACGCTGAATGTGTGCAGATATCAAGTAGGTGACATTTGTGCGGAACTGGAGTCTTCAGCTTCCTGTACTCGGAAAAGGAATTAGCTAGCCTAGTCAAAATTGGTGGGGTCAGGTCGAAGACCATACTGTGCATATATGTACATGTAATGGCTTGAAACGACCTGGTTATTTTTTAAGAACATATAACGTTACTTTGGAAGTCTTTGAGAAAAAACATTAGGTTTTGTGTAACCTATACAGTATAACAACTCTTTTTCAATATTTACATTTAGTCCTCCACAATGGTAATACGAAACCGAATGATAAGTGCTTCTAGATATGGCTCTTGTTCAATGGCCGATGTTTATGTACAATGCAAATAACGTAGTTTCTCCGAGAGGTTTTAGATTTATTGGCATTATTATGATGTATTCTGTCTGTTCCAACTTACTTGACAACGATACAAGAATCTGTATCGAAACATGAAACAGAGAATTTGTTCATCGATAAAGTTTGTCCTTATCTGTTTCAACCTGATGCAAAATGATTCTTGTTCCAAAATCTTTAATAACTATGTGTTGGGGGCATGTTTTGTTAATAAAATACTTGTTCCATTGTTTGGCCCCGTTATGGCGTCTATGTGTAGATGTCTAACTGATTGATGGGGGTCAACTTTATGACATCAAAACACATGTTTGAAGCCTGGGTATTGTCAAGCTTGCCCTGTGGCACCTGATAACAGCTCATGACTCAACTGGTGATGTACAAGGAGTCTCTTGGGCTTAATTGAATCGCTCGGGTTGACACATTGTATCAGTAAATCCTATGCTATAACACAGCGAGCGTTATCAGTAATAGCTCGAGTTAGGTAAAATGATACAAAGAGCCTCTCAAGCTTATTGTTATACTGTGTGCTTTATTACCCACTTACCGGATGATGGTGTCTCTTGTATATAACATATACATAAAGGTAGCTGTGAATTGGGAGATTTGGATTTAGGGATATTACTCATTGTCTAATGACAGTTGAA